CCTCCCCCCCCCCCCCCCCCCCCGGCGGGGGGGGGGGGGGGGGTGCCACCTCACTGAATGTTTCGCCATTAGCAGGTGTTAAAACGCACGCGCGGGTTTTTTTATTAGATGATCGCCTTTAATCTCCATCATGAAATATATTTTTAATATGTTCCAATAAAGTTTTTGTTTTTGAATTGTTTCATTTTGAGGCGCTTTAACGCACGTTACACGCATTGCATGAAAAATGACGGGCGCCAACAGGGTGGGCATCACACCACGGACGTCATAACGCATGCGCAGTTCACTGCCGGCTGCCATCTTGGTGATGGACGCCAGCAAAGAGAGGCGGGGATATTGACTTGGCGGGATCAGGTATGTCGCCAGGTCCCTCCCTCTCTCTCTCTCGTGCCGCTGTCATGCTATTGGCCCATGACCGAGTGCCGGACTTTTAAGAGGGGGTGACACCAAAATGACTGACGGTCACCCCCCCTAAAAGTCCGGCACTCGGTCATGGGCCAATAGCATGACAGCGGCACGATAGAGAGAGGGACCCGGCGGCATACCTGAGCCTGTCAGTCATTTTTGTGTCGCCCAGTGTGGGCCGCAGCCCTTTTGCGATGCCACTGCGTCATCACAGTGAATGGGAGCCCCTCTTACCAGTCCTCAGCATCACAACGCACGTTACACGCGTCGGCGCATTGCGGCGCCATTCATCTGGTAACACGACATTGTGTACAGGATGTGGCGGGAAGTGTCTAAAGCCGGGGGTAGCTGAACAGCAGCACTCCACCTATGATCAAACTCCAAATCCCATCATGCATCTGCCTCCAGGAGCCATGCCTGTGGCTATCAGAGCCTTGCAATGCCTCATGGGACTTGTAGTTCCACAACAGCTGGAGGGCTGCCATTAGATGGGCGTTCCTGCAATGCGGTATTTTGGGATGAAGTTTTAATATCAGGATTCTGGGAATAGACGCCGTTCTTGGGTTCAGCGGGGAGCGATCACTAAGAGCTGCGGGGGGGGGAGAGATATATCGGGAACATGTGCCGTCATGTCGCTCCTGGGATGAGAGAGATCCATACAGACGCACCTCGTCATTCTGGTTCCACGCCAGCCGGCAACTCTGTGTACACAGGCGGCATACCTGTGCCGGGTCACATGACCATGGCTGGTCTCTGCAAATCAGGAAAAGCTGCATTATAAGGGAACATCATGAGTAATGTATCCGTGTAATATTCCCAGGTATTGATTACCTCGCACAGAGATCGCAGTACCCTCCCCTGACAATGCCTTGTTCTCGCCAGAAGAACAGCACCATCTTTGTTCAGGCATCGTCCGGGGTCACCATCTATTCTGTGTGGTGGGGACATCAAACTACAGAAAAATAAAATGGGACATTTGTTAGGTTGTTATTACCGTTCATGTCTTCCTGAGCCAGTGACAACAGATCCCGTCAATTAATATCCTGTTGTCAAAGGGACAGGAAGTGAGGTGGAATGATGCAAAGGGGGACAAGGTCAGCAATAAATTGTCAGTCTTAAAAGAAAAAGTTGTCTGGACTTTGAGTTATTTGATCTGGCCACACACACAGTCAGATTTGGATTCAGATTTGCTCTCTGCCCCCCTATTGGTGATTATATATAGAGTAACAGATGTGACTAGAAATTTCCATGCGGGCGGCGCCTGCTAACAAAGCAAAGTCCTCTCCTGATCACGTGGTCAGCAGCGCACAACTAACTCTCCCTGCAGACGAGAATTTCTCCGCTCTGGGAATTCGCTCGCCCGGCCGCTAAACGGGATCAACAGACTAACGGGACACCGGGGGGAGCAAAACCGAACACAATAGCCGCTTTAGCGGGCCCAGCGACGAAGAGCACCGAGCGCATGCGCACTGAACACATTGCCACCAACTCCTTGACACCTCCAATGGCGCGCTCGTACGTCTGATAGAGGTGACGTAGGAGGGCACGCGCCGACAAAGACAGAAGGCCCGCCCTCCGCCGTGACGTAGGGACAGGAGCTGTCATCTGCGGGATCAGAAGTCACCGGAGTAAGTGATACATTGTAACTCTCTGTCATCCGGCATGTGCGTTCCCCGAGGCTCTATCCGGTATGTGTGATCCCTGAGGATCTATAAGGCGTGTGTGATCTATGGGGGCGTGTGTGATCCCTAAAGGATCTATGGGGCATGTGTGATCCCTAAAGGATCTATGGGGCATGTGTGATCCCTAAAGGATCTATCTGGTGTGTGTGATCCCTAAAGGATCTATCTGGTGTGTGCGATCCCTGAGGATCTATCTCTGGCGCGTGCGATCCCTGAGGATCTATCTCTGGCGCGTGCGATCCCTGAGGATCTATCTCTGGCGCGTGCGATCCCTAGAGGATCTGTGGGGCGCGTGCGATCTCTGAGGATCTATCTCTGGTGCGTGCGATCCCTAGAGGATCTGTGGGGCGCGTGCGATCTCTGAGGATCTATCTCTGGTGCGTGCGATCCCTGAGGATCTATCTCTGGCGCGTGCGATCCCTGAGGATCTATCTCTGGCGCGTGCGATCCCTGAGGATCTATCTCTGGCGCGTGCGATCCCTGAGGATCTATCTGGCATGTGTGATATGTGATCCCTAAGGATCTATGGGGCATATATAGGTTATAGGTTGAACTCGATGGACATGTGTCTTTTTTTTCCAAACTGACTAACTATGTAACTATGTGTGATCCCTGAGGATCTATCTCTGGCGTGTGTGATCTGTACGGATCTATCCAGTGTATGTCCAAGGACTGTACAACAAGTACCAAAGGGCCACAAGGTGGCCCCCAGGGCATTATGCTGCGCTCTGTCATTGTGTCCTATAGATCTACTGATAGTATTTGTGTTCTATTATTTCCCTCGTATGACCTGATAGAAGCAATGAGGGATCAGCTCACACTGACCTTTACACTGCTGACTGTCAGTATTACGCTGTGTGATGATTTCACCTGATGACATCATCTGAGTGATAATAGAAGAAGAGCTTATATACTGTGTTCTGTCCTATTACAAGACTGGAATCCGTTATTATACTCTGGTGGGAATTTATCAAAACTGGAGACGATTTACACTGCAACCAATCAGCTTCTCTGTCACATTTTCAAATCTTACCTGAGCACACTGAAGAGAGATGCTGATTGGTTGCCATGGGCAACTGCTCCAGATTCTGCCTGCTCCAGTTTTGATATTACTAAATGCCCCCCCCCCCCCTCTATGTTCTAAGGTTGTGTGTATATAGATATATCTCTGTACAGTTATTAAACGGATCTCTCTTTCTATTTGCAGATCCCAGAAGAAGTTCATCTACTAGCGGCCACGGACTGGTGTTTTTTTTTCTCTGCTCCCTCCCAAATCGCGCCTCTTCCTCGTTCCCCCCGATCAGTCGTCTGAAGATTCTGGACTTCTTCCGAGTAAGGACAATGAAAGTAAAACTGGATTTCTGTGCAGAGATAGAACTCTGGAATGTAGAAGTTTCCGGCAGCTGCTGTGAAACGCGTTCACCCCGGCATTCAGCACAAACACAGTATAAGGCGGGTTGGGAATTTGTGTTTCTTTGTTTCTAATTATAATACAGGAAAGGGATTGAGATCAGCACTGATCCCTCCTCTGCCTTTGAAGCGGTAATGATGATCTCGGCTGATCTGACCCAAATTATATGCTTCCCCTATTTAATTCCACCTTTAGGTTGTTATTGGTAACAGGAAGGGGAGGATGGAGGTTAGCAGAGGAGCCGGTGTTCTATCGAATTCTACAACTCGTCGAGACCTCCAACTCCCGTCAGTGCACCTGCACAGCCACCCAAGTGGCGTGTGTGATCCCTGAGGATCTATGGGGGATCCCTGAGGATCTATGGGGGAAGGGGGTGTGATCCCCGAGGATCTATGAGGGAAGGGGGTGTGATCCCAGAGGATCTATGGGGGAAGGGGGTGTGATCCCCGAGGATCTATGAGGGAAGGGGGTGTGATCCCAGAGGATCTATGGGGGAAGGGGGTGTGATCCCTGAGGATCTATCTATCCACTCTACAATCTGTGGCAGTGCGCCTGCGCGGACACCCGACACCACAAGCACCGACGGGAGTTGGAGAACTCGATGTCAATATAGAAGCCGCACAGGCGCACCTACGACAACTGGAGAAGTCAACGAGGACTGCAAAAACTGTGACGGCTGGCGCACATGCGCACTAGCACCATCTCATCAAAATCTGCAATGGACGGCATGTCACGAGTTGGAGATCTTGAAGAGTTGGCCACCTCGACAGAACACCAGTACAACTGAACAAGACTGGAGCAAAGGGTGCGCTGTACCCACTCAAGATAATGACCGGGTGACAGCGGCCGCCTGTCATTATGTGATATATAATGGCAGTCTATATGTGATATGATCACATGCGGTTTGGAATAGATCACTGTCCCTGGACGCAGGATAGATGCATCCAGCGACATTGTTCTATTCCTAACCACATGTAATGGTATCGCGTACATGTGGGATGCCACTTAGATGCGGCCGCTGTCACCCGGTCAATAACTTGAGCAGCAGCACTTCCCTCCAGTCTTGCAGAGTTGTATCGGCTTCTTTCCCGGTCATTTACTTGAACGGGTACAGCGGACGCATCTGAAAGGGATGCCTGCAATAGGAATCTGTAGGTTCCTATTGCAGGAATCCCCATGTGAATGGGGGGGGCGGTGACCTCCGGTGACCTCCTCCTCTGGCTGTTAGTTGGAAATCACTGGGACTGACACTTTTTCTTTTCCTAGCCGTGAAAATGCCTCTCCAGGTGGATGAAATAATGCGCCTCTTGTGCCACATTTCCGGAGAACAGAAAATGAAAGCCGCAGTGAAGCACTCTGCCAGGGGCGCTCTGGCCGCCGGCACCGGGGCTTTCCTGGGAGGTCTGTTCGGAGGACCTCCCGGCATCGCAGTCGGTAATATGTCAGCTGATGAAAACAGACTTGGCTTGTGGTGGGAAATGCATCTTATATACACAGGAACTGCACAAAGAGCGAGTTACCTGGGCGCTAGATGGCGCTAAGGAGCATAGGAAACAATTATGAATTTCATAGGCTCCCTGGCTCCACCTAGTGGCCATAAGGGCTTATTACATTACAATACATTTAACATGAAAAGAAAACTTAAGAATGTTTGTTTGTTTTTGTAATTGTTCACACAAAACAAACATTCACAGGACGAAGAGCCCTAAATTGTTTACAATTAGACCCCATAGAGTGTGTGAATCTGGAACAATGATGCAAACAGCAGTAAGACTTGACTGAGGTTTTAACCCAGGGGTAGCCAAACTATGTATCTGAACCCAAACATCATTATTAATTTTGGATAGGGTAACAAGGGGTTAGAACAGGGGTAGCCAAACTCCGGCCCTCCAGCTGTGTTGAAACTACAAATCCCATGATGAATCTCTCTCCGGGAGTCATGTCTGTGGCTGTGAGAATCTTGCAATGCCTCATGGGATTTGTAGTTCCACCACAGCTGGAGGGCCGGAGTTTGGCTACCCCTGTTCTAACCCCTTGTTACCCTATCCAAAATTAATAATGATGTTTTGGGTTTAGATACACTTTAGTGTTGACCTCCTTTTAAAGCAGGGGGTGGGCAAACATCAGCCCTCCCGCTGTGGTGAAACTACAAATCCCATTAGGCATTGCAGAACTTTGACAGCCACTGGCATGACTCCCAGATGCATGCTGGGATTTGTTGTTTCACCACAGCTGGAGGGTTAGCGTTTGCCTACCTGTGGTTAAGAGTACATAGGAACCTTCTGATTGGCCAGCTTCCCGGCCAATCAGAAAGCCGTGCGCCGCAGCATTACACGGCGCCCGGCTTCCTGATTGGCCAGCATCCGACCAATCAGGAAGCCGGGCATTGAGCCATTACACGCTGCCCGGCTTCCTGATTGGCCGGGAAGCCGGCTCCATGCTCCCTCGTCACTTGTAATGACTTGCTGCCCGGCTTCCTGATACTGGAAGTATTGGGCTAGGCATCGGAGCATTTTGGTGAGTACGAGTACTTGCCCAAATACTCTGCATCGGAACCGATACTAGTATACTCGGTAGGGATGCACCGATACCACTTTTTTTAGGACCGAGTATGAGTACCGATACTTTTGATCAAGTACTCGCAGATACCAATTACCGATACTTTTTCTTAAAGGGACAGGTCACATTTTTTCTAAAGCAATACAAACTAATGCTTTAAGGTCACTTTCTTAATACTATGATTCATGAGATGACGAGGGAGCATGACGCCAGCTTCCCGGCCAATCACAATGCCGGGCGCTGCGTCATTACACGGCGCCCGGCTTCCGGATTTGCTAGCTTCCTGACCAATCGGGAAGCCGGGCAGCGCGTCATTACAGGCTACCCGGCTTCCTGATTGGCCGGGAAGTCGGCTCCATGCTCTCTCATCACAAGTGACGAGAGAGCATGGAGCGGTTTCCTGGCCAATCAGGAAACCGGGCAGCGTGTAATGACGCGCTGCTCGGCTTCCTGGTACAGGAAGTACTCGTGCTAGGTATCGGAGCATTTGGGCGAGTACGAGTACTCACCCAAATACTTGGTATCGGCACCGATACTAGTATCGGTATCGGTGCATCCCTAATACTCGGTATCAGTGCATCCATAGTTGAGAGATATATATATATATATACATACACAGTGCGTCGTGTATCACAAAAAAAGTACATGTGCCTTTTTTTTAGCGATTTGCCGTGTGGTTGTAACCCCATTGAAATCAATGGGGCCACACGGCAACCGCTGTGTACAATCGTTCACGTCCGCGCTGTCCCGGGAGCGCCAAGATCTGAACGTAGCCTAAAAGTCCTATTATTACAATGTCATTTTAATCAGCAGACTTTGTTGATTATGCTTTGGGGTGAATACTGTATATACGGGGGTGCGCAAATTACGTAAACATTGTGTTGGATGAAAGTACAGGAAATGCATTTTTATTATCGGTACTCGATACTGTGCTTGTGCTTAAAGGAGAACTATGAAGGGAGTGCTTTTCACTCACCTCATAGTTCTAGCCGACCTGTGACAATGAGACTGTCACATGTCAGCTTAGTAGATCGGGAGGTGAGCGAACACATACCGGCGTTCGCTCACCTCTCGATCCTGTCACGGCTCTCTGCCGTGACAGGGGAGGGGGGAATCCCCGCTCCGATCCGCCAGCGCTGACTGGCGGAACGGACGGGGGAGGGGGCGGGTACAGCTGGCTCTGCCTCTAGATAGGGAGAGCCAGCTGTCACTCACGCAGCTGGGCGGATCCAGACATAATTGTCGGGATCCGCTTCAGCTGCGGCGTCTCAGTATATAGCAAGCTACAGCTCGCGGTATACTGAGACTAGGGTGACGGGAGTACGCTAGTTTGTGTCCTCCCGTTCCCCTGAGGAGAACTATGGGGAAAAGCCGTGACCCCATAGTTCTCCTTTAAATCTTATCTCCGCCAGTTTTAGGTGGCGGCCTCTAGTCCTTGTTATGGAGTTTACTGTAACAAGTATAATGCTGATGTTGCTGTCACCAGACAAAAAAGTAAATGTCTCGAAAGGTTGTCAGCGGTTCTTTGTGGAGGAAGTGGTGAGCAGTATCGGATTCACCGTGGCGCCTATAGCAATCTGACAGAAGCGGCACCAAAACACATTTACAATTTGAGTTCCTGTTTTGCTTTTGAAATAAAAAAACCTTTTATAGGGAAAAATCAAGGAAATGACCTTTCTGAAAACGCTACTTTCCAGGAGCAGAGTGCTGCAATGGCAGCCAATGTTCAGTGTGGGCTTGTCTGGCAGCTTTTGGGCACCTGCGAACACATCAGGGAAGGGGAGTCACAAGACCCTCTATAGGTCACATTTATAGCCATCGCCTCTTTCCTTGCTGAAGACAACGCCTTGGGCAGTGTGTAATGACACAGCGCCCGGCTTTCTGAATGGCTGGGAAGCTGGCTTCATGCTCCCTTGTCACCTCATGACGAGGGAGCATGGAGCCGGCCAATCAGGAAGCCACACACCGCGTCAATACACGGCGCCTGGCTTCTCGATTGGCCAGAAAGCCATGGGGACGGCTTCCCTGCTAATCAGGAAGCCAGGTGGCGAGTCATTATACGCCGCCTGGCTTCCTTAATGGGACTTCCGGTATCTGTATTCGGTATCGGCGAGTACCGGAAAAAATAATAATGTCTATTCATTCCCAATAAAAAGGAAGGAAATAAAAATATATATGTATGCAAATTTACTGCCAAAGGAATCCCTATGTGTCCTGGAAATTTTATTTTTTATTTTTT